GCAAAAATTTCACCAAAACAAATTAAACAAAACTGCTTAGCAAAGAAAGCATAGCAAGACAGACATAAATAAAATCTAATTTAATTTTTATAGCCAAAAAATATTAAGTTTAAATTACTAATAAATTTAATTGTAAGTTATTCGTGCTTAGTTGAGCGCATAAAACCTATGTTTAAGCGCATTTTTACTTACAAAAAAAAAAAATTAAAAAATTTTATTAATGAAAACTATGTTTTTCTAAAACGAATTATAAAACGTTATTGGCAACTATTGGCTATGATATAAAGTGTTACATATTTGATTTACTAACTATCGAACTCGAGCTTAAAACTAATTAATTTCTTGTAGCAACTTATAGCGAGCGCAACGCAACGGAAAGCCAAGAAATTGAAAAACACATAAAGATATGAGTAAAATTCAAATTTCGATATAAAAAAATTAAATAAATTACTTACACGAGAAAAGTAGAATCTGATAAAAAAAAATCCGCAAAAGTAATTGGGCATTGCGAATGCAAACATTTGCTATATGTAAATAGTTAAAAAAAAAAATAAACGACACGAACAAAAACATGAACACACACACACACGCTTAGATATGCCGCATAACGGCGGTGAATGCATTAATGAGTGTAAAAATCTTAAATCATATAAGGCGCGGAAAAGCAGCCGAGATCAATTACTTATCTAAATATGTATGCACTCAATGCGTACACACACACACGCACGCGCATACATATGCATTCACATAGCTTAGTACACTTAATCCTTCTTTCCAATCCACATCAATTTGCAATAATGTATGCGCGTATGGGTAAGCGGTGCTATGCAGAAGCAGCAACAGAAACCCCAACAACAGGAAAAGTACACAATCGTAATTGCTAAAAAAAAATAAACCAGCGGAAAGATTGAAGCAAAGAAAACGTGAAAGTGAAAACTGAATGCTAATGATTGTAAAATTAATTAATATTAAATAATTATTCGATAAAATTATGAATAATAAAAATATGATATTAAAAAAACACACCCAATTCTGAAACTGTTATTTTTATTTTGATAACCGAGGTCAAAATTATTAACTAAATTTGTTTGTGACAAGATACGAGTATTGTTGGTGGTTTGTCGTAGGTGTAGTATTAAGTAGTATTTTTCATACGCGTAGTTTTAAATTTGCCTTATATGTTTTTTTATATTGGTTATAATTAACACATACTTTTGTATACGCATTTTGAAGTCGTATCGGTACTTCTTTCGTATTTGGCATTTTAACTGCCTAAGCAATTTTGGCCGAGTTCAACAAACCACGCCACTCGTTTCTCTTCTGTGCCAACGGATGCCAAGACATTCTCCACTTGATCTTTCTATCGCAGTGGGGGCCTCCCTCTCCCTCTGCTGCCACCAGCGGGTTCCAAGTTGAATACTTTCAGAGCTCGAGCGTCGGTGTCCATTCGAAAGACATGGCTAAGCCAGCGGACCCGCTTTATTTTAATTCGGTGCACTATTTCCATGTCGTTGTAAAGCTCACACAGGTTATATGCCAATGAGTAAAGGCCCGTAAATCCTCCGCAAGATCTTTCACTCGAATACTCCAAATGCCGCCTCATCGGATGTTGTCAACAGTGACGTGGACAGCAGATACTTCGTATTGTCCTCGTTGATCACCAGGCCATATCGCCTTGCTTCCCCATCCAACTTGGGAAAAGGCAGAACAGGGCTCGAATCGTAACATCCGTTCACGGATCGAAAACGATACGAAAGAAAATTACGTGATACGTCAAGCAGTATAAACTAAATGGGACAAAGAGTACGTTCACGTATGTCATAATCCGAAAAATTTGTTTTTACGTGACGAGTAGTACGATATCGTATGTGACGATTCGAGCCCAGGCTTCGCGGTTTTTATCACCATTCGATTGCACGTTCTTGACACTTCTCGCCATACCAGAACTACTTCTTCGGCGGCGGTACTTAATGAGCGGAAAATATGGTTGGTGCCACTGCTCGCATATGTCGGCTATTGAAAAGTGCTCTCTGAGAGTTTTGAGCTGAGTTTCCCTGCATCCTCGGGCGCACATTTTTTGCTGCACAGAGGGTGTTGCTTATCTTGGCTGCAACAAGATAGTGGTCCGAGTCTATGTTTGGGACTCGGAGTGTACGTACGTCTAAAACAGTGGAAGCGTGCCTTACTAGTACTACATAACATCATGTTTCGAGCCCCGGCGAAGTCGGTCAGCCTCAGTCTGTTGTCGGACGTTTCGTCGTGGAGGCTGAGTTTTCCGACGGTGGTTTTAAAGATTCCTTGCCAGTATTCGTATGTGCGCTCCAAGCGCTCAGAGCAGCTATGCTTGGACACTTCGTCCGTCGGGGCGAGGGTGCAAATCAACGAGAATCTCTCCTTGATGCGGGTTGTGGGGGGAAGTTTGTCCAATGATCCAAATCTTCTTTACTACATTTGTGGCGAATACGCAGCTAAAAGGTTCCGAAAACCTCTAAGCGATTTTTATAAAAAATATTTATTTTTCCTATCTCAAAACTGTTTGTCAAATGTGCTGTGAACATGTGCGACAGTGGATCAGTGATCAAAGATTCGCTATTTTTTAACCTTTATGCTGTAGACTGCGTTTTTGTGACCGTTTTGAATCTTTTATTATCTGAAAAACTAAGTCTGAAAATAACGGTTATAAAATATCGAAAAAATAAAAGTCATAAAATATCATAAAGATCTAATCGTAACGGTTAAATTACGGTATTTATAAGAATTTACTGCAGTACAAACAAAAAGAGTTTTATAGGAGCTACTTTGTCTCATCCGTGGCTGTACTCTTTCATTTTCATTGGAAGTTTGTTTTCCATTGCAGGTGGCAAAACCAAAATGTAATCATAAACAGGAGCAATTTTCGATCGCACATTTAAATAAGCGAGCCGCTTGCTCACGGCCAAGGCTTGCAGCCGTAGCTCTTGGTAACCGATTTTGGCCGAGTGTTCCGGGTGCAGAACTCCATGCATGTGCGGAAAGTATTTCATCGCGCCATTTACCTCAAGCAGTTCACAACTTCCGCTTCTTAGCACGTATCCTCAGGGTAGCCTTTTGGAAGCGAGCAAATGTGCGAAGGCAAACCACAAGCAATGGGTTGTGCCCTAAGCTGGAGACTCGTAAGACGTAAACAACTTTTTGTAATGAAAAGCAAAAAAGGGCCCCTTTTTCTTGCAATTACCCTGGACTAAGTATGCAATTGAGAAGTAATAAAGTCCACCGTAACCATGTTCCATAAGTCAGTAGAAGTAGTGAATAACTTTGTCTACCTAGGATCCAGCATAAGCACCATCAATAATGTCAGCCTGATAATCAAGCGAAGAATAACTTTTGCCAACAGGTGCTAGTTTCGGATCGGTAGGCAATTGAAGAGCAGAGCCCCTCTCCGCGAGCAAAGTCTCTATAAGTCTCCCATTATGACTGATATTTTTTACGGTGAAGAAACTACGCAAGATCTAGGGCCCTGTATGCGCGGACGACGGGTGCCAAAGAAGATGGAGTTACTAACTGTACGGCGTTTTTAACGATAAAGACATAGTTATACCGAACAATAAGACAATAGCCGGGGCTTGCGCACACTGTGCGTTTGGATGACATTGCTTTAGTGAAAAGGTCCTTCGAGTCGGCACCGAAGTAAAGCCACCCACGAACTCTATCGAATGACCAAGTGCAGAGGGACCTGGTTCTTCTCGGGATGAACAATTGGCGCGAATTCGCAAAGTAGAAAAGTTTTTTGGACACGGCCTAAACCGATAAACATTCGTGGTACCAAATAAGATTTAGTAGATGCTGATGCAGGCGCTTCTCCCTCTTTTATACATTTATAAATAATTTGCATAATAAAAATACTTTTTAAATAGAATTTCGCGGTTTACCATTTCGTGTTTTATGACAGATACTAACAGGTTTGTTTATGTGTTTAAAAGTAAATTTTAACTGAATAGCATTTTTGGTTTAAGCTATCCAGTCGATTTTATCATCAAGGCTATCTTAAATACATACTTTTTATCAAACCTGTTACAATGTGAATTACCCAATTCATTTACCACTAATTTATTGATCCTAATAATTTTTTATATAAAATGATTCAGAAATTAAGTTTTGTTAGAAAATATTCAACAAATATGTATGTAAATAACAAAAGTGTACAATTTATTGACAAAAGTAGCAGTTCCAGGCATTTTAATAAAAATGAATTAAGAAGTAACAAATCTACCTAATTTGTTATTCAAATATTGTTCGCAGACGTAAATGAAATGAATTGCTCGTGCTGATGTGCCTGTCAGTAACAGTTCATGAGCAGGCGAGCAAGTCTTACCGGTTCCACAGATTTGCACATTGTCGTTTAAATAACTGATTAAGATGTTTTTGGCTATTTTTCTGTTACTGAGCACAACTTGGGAAACATGCGTGTATTTTTCCGCGAAAAATGCTAACGCATAAAGCATAAAAAGTTGTGCCAACAACAAAGCTGCTGCTGGAACTCACTAAGCTAAGAGATCAAGTTTTAAAAGATGACGTTGGACGTTGGATGAGTCTTAAGCGCGGTAGATTACTGACCACTGCGGCTGCTTTTAAACAGTTGACCTTGACACTATAATGCTGACAATGAAGCATGCATTGTGATTGAAAAAAAAAGGAAAAAATCATACTGACATATTTTAAATGAACAGGCTGCAAGGTAAACACTAAAATATGTATGTATGTATTAACATATGAAATCAATCAAATATCAAAAATATTGCTCACAAACAACTGTTTGCTTTTTGAAGCAACAGCAACCAAATATTTCGTGTCTTACAGTAATGCATTAATCATCGTTTGCAACATCAAAATCACACCCAGCTTTGGAATCTGAACCAAGCAAATATATTTGCGAATAATCAACATTTTATCACTTGCAAAATGTTACGCAAAATCTTGAGGCAAGCAGAAACCCAAAAAAAAAAAAAAACATCGCGCGAAAAACTTGATTATTTTCTGCCAAATTCGCTTTTATCGCTGCTGACGTCGCTGTGAGCTTTCGAACACTTCGTCGCTGTAGCGCGCGATGTTGCGCTCGCTCTAAAGCATCCATAACTCACCCACAAAAAATACGTATTATAGTTGAATTTATATACATACAAATGTACACGTAGTATGCATATACATATATTTTTACGTATATCGTACCTGTCGTGCTCATCTTCTTGTCACCTTAAGCTTTGACTATTATTACCTGTATGCGAACTGGATTCTGCTGCTACAGCTTTGGGCCAACCAGCAAAAGCAATAACAGCGACTTGTGTGATATTTCAAGTAACTTTAGCTAGAAGCTACTAACCACCTTTCAGCCTCTATCCGTTGCTGTTCGCCACCTTCACATTCAGTCTTAAACGAAAGCTTACGCGTTGTGGTGCATAGTTTTTTTTTTGCTTAGCACGCTTTTGTGAAAAGTAAACGATACAAAAACTCTTTGAAAGGACTTTAAGGGATAATTCCATACGAAGCGTATACATATATTGCATACGAAAACGAAAAAACCGTGAAAATGTATAAGATTTTATTAAGTGTAACACTGTGTGTGGCCATGCTTGGCTCACTGGGTTAGTATTTCTTTTTGGATAATAAATACATATTTATTAGTTTTAAATATTTTGTGTTAAAGAAACAAGGGTGTGATGTTAGGGCAGAGTTATTTAATTTCGAAAGAAGTGTACGGCATATTCGAATTCCACGTTGGATTCTAAGCTAAAATGGTGAACGAACTATATACCGAAAATTACGTTTGATCCTCCCCATTTTAAAAAGAAAAATCGGCGCGTTATAATTTTTTCTGAACGAAATTAATTTTTAATTTACAAAATTTTGTGTTCTCTTCATATTTAAGAACCTGCTTCACTAGTTAGTTCGTTATGCTTTTTGTAAAATTTTTTTTGGTATAATGAAAAATAAATTTCGACCAATACTGCTTTTTCTTTTGAAAAATGGGAGGATCAAACGTCACTTTTGGTTTGTAGGTTGTTCGTCATTTTTGCTTAGAATTAATCGTAGAATTTGAATTTGCTTTACACTTTCTTCGAAAATTTGTCTGCGAACAAATTACCCCGCCCTAGTGTGTGTATGTATAGCGGCGGTCAATAGTGGATTAATGGTGTTTCGTACTTAATATTTACAGTGTTTTTCAAACTATAATTTTTTGATATTTTTTTGGCAAAATATGGTTCATTCTTACACAAAAACCATATAAATCACACTTTCCAACTTTATACAGAATTTAGAAAAGTTCCACACATTGTTATCTAAATTTCGAGCTTTATAACCCGAAATCTTTAGAGTTTTTTGGGTATGCAGTTAACAGGATTATAAAATTTTAGTAAAATTAATGCACGTTTTAAGCGGCTAAAAAATCGCATTGATTATTAATAGCTTTTTTCCATTGAAACACGAATTTTTTTGTTGAAGAATATGCGCAAGACCTTGTGCGACNTTTTCCATTGAAACACGAATTTTTTTGTTGAAGAATATGCGCAAGACCTTTTGCGACAAAAAAAAAAGAGAAAAAAGGTCAACGCCACTTATCCTAAATTTCGCTTTTTATATGAAAAAAAAAAACCGAAAAGGCCGTCAGCGAAAAAAAAATCTTATAAATCAATGCGATTTTTTAGCCGCTCAAAACTTGCACTAATTTTACTAAAATTTTATAATCGTCTTAACTGCATACCAAAAAAATAAAAAATAAATAAAAATCTGTATAAAATGCTCGAAATTTAGATAACATTTTGTGGAATTTTTCTAAACTCTGTATAAAGTTTAAAAGTGTGGTTTATATGGGTTTTGTTAAAGCATAAACAATATTTTTATATAAAAAAATTAAACAAAATTTTAGCTTTAAATTAAATTTTAGTTTTAAAAAGAAACACCATTTATCGATGTTTAACTGCCACTGTATGTATTACTCAAGGCATATCAAAAGACTTAAGGCGAGAACCCATTTTCCTTTTTTTAATATCTAATTTTCCCTTTTTCCCCCTAAACGAAAAATCAAAAACAGCATTATTGGATGCAAACAANGTGGTTTATATGGGTTTTGTTAAAGCATAAACAATATTTTTATATAAAAATATTAAACAAAATTTTAGCTTTAAATTAAATTTTAGTTTTAAAAAGAAACACCATTTATCGATGTTTGACTGCCACTGTAGGTATTACTCAAGCCATATCAAAAGACTTAAGGCGAGAACCCATTTTTTTTTTAATATCTAATTTTCCCTTTTTTCCCCTAAACGAAAAATCAAAAACAGCATTATAGGATGCAAACAATGAACCACCAACAAAGCTGTTTTTAACCGACTTCCAAAAAAGGAGGAGGTTATCAATTCGTCGAAATAAATATATANTCAAGGCATATCAAAAGACTTAAGGCGAGAACCCATTTTCCTTTTTTTAATATCTAATTTTCCCTTTTTCCCCCTAAACGAAAAATCAAAAACAGCATTATTGGATGCAAACAATGAACCACCAACAAAGCTGTTTTTTTATTATTGTAAGCCGTTTTGTTTTCTTTTGCGAACGGTATTTCTTTGATATATGTATATTTATTTTACCTTCATTCTATTTTTGCCTAAGTAAATAAATATAAATATTTAAATATAAATATTTCCAGATTGTCACCTAGTATTTTATACAAAAATCATTAAAAATAAGATGATTACCAAAATCTGTTTATTGCTTAAAGAGTTTCAATCATTTCCTTGTTTTTATATTTTCGTAAAATACGACTCTTAGAAAAAAAAAAACAAAGAAATGCGAAATATTTCCAATATGTCAATTTTAAGTGAAAAATTCGTTGCAGAATCTCACCACTGATATGCCACTTACCTTTCCTCGCTTCTCCATAGCATTCAGCGATACATTTTCGAAGATGAATCACTCGTGGTGATCGCTTATCGCAAATCGCAGGCGATATCTCCTAACAGATCTCCCGCGAGGGCTTAACGTGTATGGAAATTTGGGGTTACCTAGTAGCGGCCAGCCAAACCGACCGCTTCAAGTGTGAATTATTTTCTGTTAAATAATGTTAGTCAGTTACCCGTAACAAAAAATATCGCCAGTATAAGCGGTATTTTAACAAATCGCCCCGAATTTTCATTCCATTTCAGAAACAATTAGTCATCTGTAAAGTTTGGTTTACTGCATTTTAGGCTGGAGTGCAATAACGCCCGCGGAAACAACGCCTATGGGCGAGCCTGTGGGCGCTCAACCTAAGAAGCTGAGAACAAATATGCGCATCGCATTGAAGGCTAACAAAAACAATAACAATTTTCCTTTAATTTCCAATAATTCGCTTATCAGTTATTTGCAAAAATACCGTTCGTTTTTATGCGTATACTGCAAAATGGAATTCAACGCAGAACTGCACTGTATGCACAAATAAATAGTAATTCGTTTCAAATACATTAAATTTTTTGCAAATGTATGCCTGCATGCATAATTGGAATGTTTCAGCAAAATAAAGCCAGATAAAATACTAATCACCGGCTTTATTGCCTTGTATTAGTGGGCATTATTTCTATTTTCTTTTTTTTTT